AGAAAAAAAGATTATATTCGGGTTAATAATACACAATCTTGTCAAATAACATTAAGACTAAAAAAAGACATACCTTATTTTCCGCTCTGTAAGGTGCACTTAAAATCCTTTAATTTTCTCAAAAATCGACAGTGCGCCTTAAAATCTGGTGCGCCTTATGTTTGAACTCTGGTTGTGCTTACTGACCTCGAACCGATTTTATGTGGTACACGCCACTCAAAAATCTGTCAAAAAATGTTTTAGTACGACTTTGGTAAGCTTCGAAGCCACACTGCTCAATGGATTGTCGGATTGCGTAGTCAGAAGCTTTGTGGAGTAATCTGGGTTCAAACTCCATTTCAGGTCTCAAAGTCAAACTGACACTGCAGCATCCCTGAGAGTTAAAAACTGTCCAAATTCTTTAATCTTTAATAAAATCATCAGCGTTGCTGCTTTACCAGGTGTAACAATTAAGTTTAACATCCAGGCATCCATGAAAGAACAGAATTTATTAAATTTAACGGAGTTAGAAGTTAACAGGAAGTTAGCTCGGTAGTTTCCACCTAAACATGATATAGCATGTTCTGACTGAGAGATTTCTGAAAAAATTAAAACGTACAGCTCTGCTACCACTTCCAAAATAAATGAAGACAGAAAACTAAACAGCAGTGACTTTTGTAGGGTTACTGAAGTTGGACTACCTGGTATATAATGATGTGCTACATAATTGCTAGCGACACAGCTATGTTAGCATAACATAAACACAGTGATGCTGGAGGATGAATGCTAACTTTTTTCCTCTAGATAAAAGTTAACGTGAGGGTTTCTGATTGTTTTTGACAAATGCAATTGCATGGCAGGATGCTGTAAACGGACCAAACTTCAGTCAGGAGAACAACAGAGATAATCCATCCACAATACAAGGTTAGTCATTAATATAATGCAACAACATGGGAATAGAGCAGCTGCAAGTGAATTCAACATTAAAAAATCAATGGTACGGAAGTGGAGGAATCAAGAAGAATGAGTTGAGTAAAGTTTGACTTATCTGACTGTTTTGTTTCGCTTAATGCGCCTTATAATCCGGTGTGCCTTATGGTCTGAAAAATATGGTGATGCATATAATGCATTCAAATCTGATCCTAAGAAAACACATCTATAAGTGACAGCTTTGACTGGGCCATGCTTTACTGTTGTGTACTACTGCTATATCATGGTGCTAATGTCTACAAGACCAACCAGCCTCTAGAAATGAGCATTACTGACATCCCATGATTTTCTTGATACTGTGAAACAAGCAAGTCTGAGCATGTTTATCCTTTACTTCACTGTGAATCAATCACTGAGCTGCAACAGCCGAAACAATTATAAATTTTTATTGTTTATGACTTACTGGTCTGAAAAGGAACACCTTCATATTATAAAGAAAATACCCTACAATAACACAGAAAATAATCTATAGTTAACTACCCTACTCAAAGTTTTTTTGAGGAAAGCACCATCTCTCGGTGAAAGTCTGCAATTGAGTAAAAGAAACAGAAGAAACAGAGTATATTATCCCCTATATAATAAATAAAAAAACAAAATAACTCAGAGTAGTATAAAATAAGAGAGCTAGTTTTGAAGTTGAATGATCAAATCAGAACTTTAACAGTTACCATTAAAATATATATAGATCCATATTTACGTACCATCACACACTTACCAGTTGTTTCTCTGACTGTGTTTGCACCTATGTCAACATTGTACACAGAATATTTGGCTGTGCTGAACATGAAAAAGGGTAATGTTTGCTTTGACTGCCTGTGTACTCTTTGCTTTTATTTTCATTTGTTTTTATCTCATAGATTTTTCTTTCATTAAGTGTACTCCTGGGATGACAAATAATACATCAGCTAATTTAACAATAACTTTATTTTCTGCTTGTATAGCTTAGGTGGTTGCTGCAGGCTTATCTTAGAGACTCAGCATAGTCCAGCGGGTTTAAATCTGAACTTAGAAATATGCAGATAATGTGTGTTAGCCTGTGTCTCTGATTATATGGTTCTTGCTGAGGATGACAGCCTTTAAAGTAATTGTGTATGGTAAATGTCAAAAACGTGTGTTGTAACAGCTTTCTTTAGAGATTTCTTTTGTTGAACATAAGCATTAACTTTATTTACCGTCCATTCAAGATTCAAATTCTCTGTCCCTGTCACCTACATTCACTAGCTTTCAAGCATGGGCTTCATGTATTCCACAGCATCTGTTTTCAAGATGTTCTAAGGGTAGAAAAGTGACCCAACCATTCTCTGTCTCGGTTCATAGACTTGTTATTTATATGTGAACAGACATGTTGTTACGTTTACATACACTCGATGTGGTGTGAACTGCTATATTACCCTTTTAGTACACATCAGTTTGAGTTGACCAAGAAACACTGTGACAAGAACTCCGCTTGACATTTATAGGACATTTAAACAATGCACTGTTATGACTCGGCTCAAAAGCCGCAAGATAAATATGCTGACCAATACCAGAATTTCACAGAGAAGAGATTTTATTTTAAATCATATAGCAAGTTAGTTAAAATAGCTGGTAACACTAAGACTAGTGAGCCTTTATGAAAGCCTGCCTATATCCACACCGGACCAGGTGTGGTGAATTAGTACCAGCTGACCACTCTTGCACTACCACTGCAAAGAGATTAGGGGCTGCAGAGGGGCGTAACATGCACATGAACCACAGAAACCATAACCAAAATGCTGTTGCAAAACAAAGGGAGGACTAAGATATTTTATAAAATATGACATTTTATTGCTCTTTTTTTCTTTTTCTCTCTCTATAAAAAAATAGGACGTAATGCTACAACAGTGCGCTAAACAAAGTTTGACTCTGGGCAATGGGCGCTAAAAGGAAATCTGACTAATGAAAGAGTCGTGACTATTGTATACATGATTATAAGAGTCTATACCTTTTGTCACTTTGTTTTCTAGTTTTCGTATCTTTAGGATACATTACAATGTTATGGTTAAACAATGTCTTTCAGCTATGTTGCAATGCTGTTAAATGTAATGCCCAGTCTTAATCATTATTTTAAACATAATCCTTTGATGTATGTTATGTATTTAGATGGCATAAAATGTATCCTTAATGATTTAATTTTATTCATTACATTTTTTTTAATGATTTTTTACTTTTTAAAATATTCAGGTAATAAATTACAGCAAATATACAAAATCAGATTTCTTACCCAAGTTTTGAAGTAGTTAATATCACAACAGTTCATTGGTGCATAGGGAAAGGTTATGAGCAGTGTATTTTTGTTATTTTATTATATTATATTATATTGAGAATGTTTCACAATGACATGGCATCCTAAGCGTGCTTCAACTTAACATGATAAGCATGTGTTTTTTAAAATGTAGTATATTATGTTCTACAGGATATACCACACTGCTTTTTGCCTTAAGTGTTGTTACTTCTCTGGTTATTATTAATATTACCTGTAAATTTACAGATAATTAGATATATAAGGCATATGAAATGATCATAGTGCCGCAGCCATTTCTCACAGAAAAGGGAAGGTCTCCACCTACACATTTGTAAATGACAGTCAATTCTAATGTTCAGTCAGTCAGGAGGAAGTTAACTCCCTAACATGGAGGTGACATCTTTGTGCATCAGACTCGGTGAGTTTTCCTTAGGTTTATACTCTTAAGTCTAACCAACTCTATAAAATAGTACTTACTGTATCTTTTTTTATTGAGGAAAGTTTTCTAACTGATTTATACTAAAGTTCTATAAAAGCCATAAAACACCAAGTCACATAAATGTAGATAGTCAGAAATGAATGGTGACACAAAATAATTGCTTTTAAGATACATTGGTTAAATTTAATTTATAAGAGATTCAATTAAAAGATTTTTTATTCCATTGTCATTTATTTATTTTCTCCCAAGTATAAATACAGTATATATAATGAATGTTGATACATCTGTATCATGTATGGGTAATTTTTCAAGTCAATAGTATCTAACACATTGCTTTTTTGTTTCTGCAGTTTGGTATTCATTGTTGTTGATCACAGCTGAAGTTAAGAACGGCTATTTTTCTCAAAACGCTGGTAAGTTGAGGTTTGATAAATAAGTCATCCGTACGGTGTACATTTTAGGACATCGTCAGGTCTCCAGAAAAAAGCTGTCAGGTATCAGACAAAAAAATTGTCAGGTCTCAGTTGTCAGGAAAAAGGTTGTCAGGTATCAGAACACACGGTACCAGACAGAGAGAAAATCTTCCTGCAGGTGGCGCTGTTGTCATGTCCCACCCGAATTGATTTCCAAATACATCATCAACGTGTGACAGTGGGAGAGCGTAAGGTCATTGACCTCACCGGAGTTTTACCGGAGGTTCAGGCTCCTAACGACTCAAGGTAAGTTTAACTTTTTCTCCCTTTTGTTCATGTTTTTGCCACAGTTGTGTTATATTAAGTTGCGGTTATGTTGTCAAAGTTACATATCAGAGAAGGAAAGCTAGTTTTGTACGAAACCAAATCAGTACTATTTTTGTCTGGCTAAATCATTCTAGCTAGCGACAGTGGTGAAACGTGATTTAAATTTAAACTGTTCAGTAATTGTTTTGTATACATTTCAGCAAATGGACAAGCTGAAAGCTTACGAGCAGCTGATAAAAGACCTTGAAAATGGTAATCAAACACTTTATTAAATGTTTTTGTAATGCTTGCAAGTTCATTTTTTTAACTGCAAAGAACCCTGACAATATCGTGCTTTAATTATTTAACATTGTATGGTATTCCTATTTACTTCTCTTAATTAATATGCATGTTAACAGACGTATATAGTTATTACTTTATGATATTGTCGGAGTGCCCGATTTAAAAAAAAAAAAAAAAAAATGACAAAAGATAGATTTCTCACAAAATTAAAAGACTTTATTGCAATTTAAAAGTTAGATAGTCATGTAGGATCTGGCTCCTACAGTCAATCTATAACTACTTACCCTTTTAAATTTTTATTTGAAGGTGAGATTACCCAAAAAGGCTTTGATAACAACGTAAAAAAGCTCCTGACAGCAGAAAAATCAGGTAGGTTTTGATACTTTTGAACAACATGTAAAATAATCTCCTTTATTTAACATGATATGCTTAGCAGGTTATGATTGACTAACCACTTTATTAATAGATACAATACATTTTGAAAGCAGATGACTGTGCAGTAGTCTGTGATTGTAGTAGAATTCTATAAACCACATGTTTCACATCCCTGCCCTATTTATATTGCAGATGACACTACTTCAACACATGGCAATGAATTTCTCAGTAAGAAAACCCCAATTATTTTGCTTTAAGATCACTTGTAATATAGAACTCGCTGTGGATCAGTTTGATTAACTTTCAGCTTCATCCATTACAGGTGCAGCAGAGGCCTTTGGTAAAGCCAAGAAACTACTACAGCCTCAAGTAAAGAAAAGGCAGTTTCCATTGAATGATAAACGTTTGGACCATGGCAAATCATTATTGAAGGTTAGTTAAAAAGTGAAGCTACATGTATGACTATCAGCAATATATTAAAAAATAACTTTCTAAAAAGGCATATTTTTAAATAAATTTCCCTTTTTTTCCTTGATGCTAGGTCAGACTGGCTCCCATGGAGTGGAAGCCAAGAAGTCATAGAAAGCGTGGACGGTACCAGAAGTTAATAATGGACGAAGCTCCACCTCGAATCATTCAAAAAGGACATGAAACCTATGATGATTTAATTACCATTGGCAAAGAACACTTCTGGCCAGAGCGTACTGAGGGGAGTGAGTTCACTCTTTGCCATTCTGACGGGACCAGGTGGAGTAAGGAGGAGTTCCACAAAGAATACAGAACTGTTTCTGATATTACACAT